TAAGCTAATTTATTTCAAATCATTGAATATATCAATTACTTATGGCAGAGTACTCTGATTTTACAGGCTTTGACTTCATTTTTTCCTACTCCCTGTCCCTCTTGCTGTCTATATCTACTTGTGACTCAGTTTTCCTTTCTCTCTATCATTGTCCACCCTCTTAGCTACCCTCCCTCTACTGGGACTTTCTCAGAAATGTTGCACTACCAACGCTTACCTTTATTCTTAGAAAAAGGAGTACAAGAACATTCGCTTGGAAGCAAAATGACTTCTCTGAAGAATGGCTTTGGACATCAAATAAGATAGAGGGACAAATCTGAGGACAGAAGGCCAGAAAGCCTTCGGGGCATCTAATCAATTCAAGGACATTTAGAATATAAATGAAGTCTTTTTGGCAAAATGTGTCCTGATGTCAAATATTTAGCTTCCCCAGGACTGATCAGTAGCGGCTGCCGAGGAGCCTGAGTGCTTGAAAAAATGGGCTTCTCTTGGGTGAAAAAATTGAGCAATCTTCATAGCTGATGGCGGCAGCAGCCATCTAACAACCCTTGGAGTGACATAAATGCTGGCTTTATGCTGTGCTTTATAGGCATAGATTAGAAACAGATTTTATGTAAAAATTTACAGAGACAGGAAAAAATCCCCAGAAAACTCTCTTGAAGGCCACAGCAACAACCGCTGCTGTTGGCTGTGTCTCAGAGGATGTTCTGTGGTGTTTTGATATCCATTCTGCCTTGCAAAAACTGCAGCTCTCCTGCTTTCCACTGCCAGAAGTGAGTGCTTCCCAAAAGTTACCATTGGTCTCAGCAATTCAAGTACTGGGAGTTTCAGCCTGGCGTTCCCCAGCTAGGACTGTTTGCACAGGAAGTGGTTAGTGGACATGCAGCATGACTGCTGAATATATGTTGCGGTTGCTTTACTTGGCCAGTTTTCATGGGTCTGCATAGACCGTCTCTGCAGCACAAGCACACTAGGACTGGTGCTTCACACCGGAGCTGATCAGTGCTCAGCATGTTCACATGTCCAGATATCCTGGGCAAATATACGAGCTCCCTGCAGTCTGCCAGGGCAACCTTTCCAGGTGGAAAAGGAGAAGTCTGAGAAATGCTAACATGTGGTGGGCCTTTCCAAATGGGTTTCATAGGATACCACTAATAATTCAGTGCTTTTCACAGAAAAATAAAGGCAGACAAGGCACATGCTCTAGCTCTTCCAAGCTTTTTTTCCTTTTCTCATTTTTCTTCTAGGATTAGAGAGATGGAAGCCTAGATTAATTTGTTTTTGCCTTCTACAGCAAGTGCTTGAGGATATCACTTTTAAAAGGAAACCTCTGCCCTGGGGAAAAAGGTCAAAATCTTTTTTGTTTTGTTTTTTTGTGTTGTTTTTTTTCCTGTTCCAAGGGCTGTTAGAGACAAGCCTGTGTCCGGTTGTGATGGTTCCTGACTAGGGCAGGGCTGCACCAGAATATCCCAGGAAAGGCATTCTCCTTCTCTAGCTACTTGGCCCATATGCATTCACAAAAACATTACTGAAAGACACAGCAGCATCCTTAGTGTGCATGGCAGTGGCTGTTTCAGATAGGCTTGCTCACAAACTGTGTAATTATAATACAGCATTACCTAGGATTATGTATGCTTAAACCAATGTTATGCCCCAGCATACAGTTTGTTTGGCGCAGTCAGCGCTGACAGCATCCATATCTAAAAGTGTCAGAGCTGCAGGTGGAGCACGTGCGGCTATCTGCTGTGTTGCGGTCTGGGGATTCACTTAACAGAGTTTGCTTTTATATCCACTAATCAGCTTTGTCAAGCCCATTTCCTCACTGTAATTGAGGAAATGAGCCAAACTGAGAAGTGTAATGTAAGCCAGACATTGCAGACCTAAACTTTGATATGGAGATGGTTTGCTCTTTTTAGTCAAGGAGATGTTGAGTCCTTCTGGGAAGAGACCCCCTGGACTGGCAACCTCTAGCCTGTGACTAGGGCACTGAAGCACATCTTATAATGATGATAATAGCAGATACAGTTTTTTAAAACATGATATTAGCATCACTGCTAACAGCAGTCTTAAGCACTTCTACTATCTGCTTAACTTCTTTACCTTTAACTTCTGGGTTAGAAAAAAAACCTGATTCTCAGGCACATATCTGATCTGTGTTTGATTCCAGCCACTCCAGGATGGAAAATTCAACTATGCCAGACGTTCGTCTGCTATAAGTCCAGTCCTGCTGGCCTCAGAGTGGCTTTGTACCTACCAAAGAGCTGGCCCTGCTGTGACTTCAAAGTGGGAAAGCTGAGTCACTGAGCAGCTGCTGGTAGCAAGGAAATAGCTGTTGGCTGCTGACCATCTTCACTGTTGCCGAGTGCAGAGATGGGATTTCTCTTAAGGTGTTTTGCTGAATGAAAGATTTGCATTAACCTTGGCCAATCTCTCATTTTCTTGAAATGATGCAATAAATTAGAAAGTGATAAGGGGCCAACGGCAACATTTGAAATTCCAGTGGCATTTCTAGGAACTGCCTCACAGGTTCCAAGTTCCTTGCAACAACCTGTTGGCCAGCCTGCAGAAGGGAAGTGGGTAGCTACAGAGAGGCACCCTTGTGGGATGCTGTTCTTCCCTGGGAAATCAAGCAACAAAGCTCACAGCACATCTAAGATTACCCTATGTCTGCTTCCTAAGCCTGAAGGCAGACTGTCCTGTGGCCAAGACTTTCTGCTAGGATGCAACACTCTCTTTCTATACCCTGCCCTGATAAAAGGAGCACCAGCAAGGAAATAACCTTGTAAATATAACTAATAATAGGGCCTGAAGTACTGGCAGAATTCACTCAACTGAGAATTCCCTAGATACTAGTTGGTGCTGCTCTCTGCAAGCAGCACACACCCTGGATGAGTCAGTTCCCTGTGGAGAAGTGGGAGCATCATCTGATGTTCACTCCTGAAGGTACTGGCTGAAGGGCACCTGAGCATAAGCTACTTTTCTGCACTAAGGATGAATCTCTCCTAGCACTGAACATCAGCATCTCTTCATAGCACAAGATAGGCACTGATGACCCCCTGCTGCCTGTGCCCGCACCTTTCATCAGATGTTCTGTAAGTGAAAATGGTTCATTTTGTTGGAGGTGACGGTGGAGATGGCATTCATTTTCAGTGACAGTACAATGTGAATATGTGCGAAGTCACTTTTTGAATTCTACTGAGTGAGTGCAAGGAAATGGCTCTCCTGAGGTCACCCAAGAAGTCTAGGGCAGAACAGAGAATATTGCCTAGTGTCCCCAGTTCACCATTGGTCTATTTTCTCTCTGGTATGGGAGATAATATCACTTTCCTTTATTGCTTCCATCTGCTGAAAGTCCGGCTGCTTTGCAGCATCTCTAGTTCAGTATCTCAGGTTGGATGGACTCTAAACAACATCCAGTACCAAGCATTGTGGTCAGACATTGCACTATGCAGAGCTTGTTTGTAGCTAGGTTCAGGATGGACGCAGACAATTAGCCCAGACTCCCTTCCCCAGCTGGATTTGCTCTCCTGCAGAATTTGTTCCCTCTCTAGTCAATATATGGCTCTAATTCTCAGTGGCATCACCCTGAAGAAGTGCTAGGGCTGTGTGGCCTGTTTTGTGCTTGCTACGCAATGGGCTTTTTATTGTTCTTAACTTCAGTGATATCACATCAGTTTGGAGACTTTTCTTCCCATTACATTTTTCTCTGTTCTGGGACTTGCTTTTCTCCTGGGCAATTGCCATTTTCCTAAAAAAAGAGTGTGATCGATATTTGGGAATTTAGGGGAAAAAGCAGCCAATAATGAGTGAGTGCCGCATGGGCATGTGCCATGAATTAACAGCCAGGGAAACAATCTGAAGGCATCAGCTGTATTCAATGGGCATCAGCTGTATTCAATGACAGGAAATAAAATATAGTTAGTGAGGAGCATGTTAATGTTTAGTTAATCACTTGGCATTATCTTGTGATCTTCTGGGACTAAAAGAGAGCTCTGGGTAATACTATGCATGTAGGTACCTCCCTTTGCCATTGTTTCTAGAAGCACCCAGGGACAAATTCTCTAAGGCATGGTGATCACGAATGTAGAAATGCCATCACCGGCCAAAGGTTCTGCTCTGCCCATATCAGACAAGTATAATTTGGCAGAATTTGTTCATTTGGAGAAAGGTAAAATTTTCATATTAGGAAAAAATATTTCAGAAGCAGGTTGATCTTTTTTATGTAAGGGTAGCAGGTTAAATTAGTTTTAAGGATTGCTTGGCACCTCAGTTACTGGTTACTGGGAAGTTACAGGTAATCTTTGGAGGTTGAAGAGGAGCTGTATTAGCAGAAAGTGATATAATCAGGGGACTACAATATGTGTTGTAAATTTATTAATCATACATGAGTGGACAATTTCACATATGCTACCAGAATTTACTGTACAGATGCCACTTCCATATCTTACATTTATTAAGTCTATGAACAGTAAATCAGGCAATATGTAACATTAATTATCTACATCTATTGCTGTGCAAAGTGACATAACAAAGTAACACCGCAGTGACTGTTCCAGAAGTACAGAGACAACCCCTCCCCAATTTCTTGAAGCATTCTGTAATTATCCTGTGCTTGATAAATCTACCCAAACCATACTTTTGCCCAAAAGCAACATTCTTCCTTGGCTGAAAAGTGCCAGTGTGCATTGCCCAATTTCTGCTTCAACAGCAAGGAATGCATCCAGGTCCCACTCACCACCATGTACAGTTCACAGTTTTTTTGCTAGTTCATTCTCTTTTTGGAAATGTTTCTCTATAAATTGTCAGGAAATTGCTTTGTTCATTCTTAACTGGAAAAAACAAAGTACTCCATCTTGCCATTCAGTGACATATGACCATTTTCAGGAAATGTTTGAAAAAAAAGGTAGAAGGAATTGGGGATGGTTGCTCTAGAAAAGAGATGGAAGAACAGGCAATAAAGCCATCTTCCAGAATGAAGATTTCTCTAGAGACAATGCAGATCAATCATTCCCCATGTTCACTGGAAAAAGAGCAAGAAGAAAAATCAAGTTCATTTTCAGAAAAGACGATCTAGGATAAATATTAGAAAAAACTTCCTAATTATACAGATGGATGAGTCTTATGAGTCTTGCAACAACACAGGAAGGTTTCCTGTTCTAGAGTTCTTAAGAAAAGTTTAGGCAAACATTTAGCAGGAACAGTTGAGGGAGACATCCTCAGTGGGTACTCTTGACCTGGATGATTTGTGATTTTAGGATTCAGGCCCAAAGGACTGTCCTAGAAGGCTGACATAGTTACAGAGCTCGACAAGCCCTACCTGGTGATTGCTTAGACATCCCAGCAGTCAGAGACTCCTTAGATAGAAAAGGATTTGTTGTGCTCAAAGAGACAGTCCAGAGCAAAGGATTCCTGTAGCAGCTTTGGAGGAGAGCTCTTAAGAAATGTCTTTTCTTCCACTTTCAGTCTCTATTGTTCTAGAATTTGTGTCTCTCTCTGTCTTTATGCAGAATTCAGCACAAAAGGGCCTTTGACCATAACTGAAACAGAAATATGAAAAAGCAATCCCTTCCCACCTTCAGAAATACGCACATCACAAACACTCTTCTCTCTTAAGCAGAAAAGAGAGGCTGTGGAAACATTCTGCGTGGAAATTAATCTTTTGAATAGGAGGTGAGTTCAGTTTGAATGGAGTGTTATCAATATTTTTGTCTGTTTCGAGTTACTAATGCTGTTTTCATCTTTGGCTAAGTAACATCTTGTAAAGATTAAAAAAAAAAAAAAAGCCCAGATGGAATTTTAAAGCAAGGATAACAAATCATATTTGTCAAATCTACTACTGGAGTAAGTGGCACCATCACTGATTTTAATAAGAGTAGTTTCTTACACTAAGTAGATTTGGTCCATCTAATTCACCTGGAATCTGGACAAATGTTGTCTTTGGACCAAATCAACCTTGATCAAAGCTTATACACATCTGCTAACGTTACTAAACGCTATGACTGGTAAAACTAGTCATTATTCTGGCTGTATCTGGCAAAAATTTTAAAATGATCTTTTCTCAGACACGATGGTGATCTGGTTTGTTGGCCCATCATTGTACATTAATGCAATCTTACAGAAATATATATATATATATGTATGTAAACACACCCACATGCACATGTATATACAAATGTTTATATATCCATATAGAGAACAGGCATGCATTCTGCATACAATCATCTGTATTAGACTGTGTTTCTGTAAGCATCAGAGGTCACCACAGTCTAGGACAAGACTTCCTTTTGGCATCCACTGAAGGCATCCCTGCAGATGTCCATATCAAACACCAACACATTTTAGTATGACAGTAGCTGAAAATCAGTCATATCTATGATGCTAATGGAAGCAAGTCACATTCACAAACATTTACATATTTACAGGAAATGTCTTTGTTTGGGAAACATATAAACACTTGCTCTGGAAATGCAAGTGGAAATGTTCTAAATGTATTTAGGACATCCTCATGGTACTATCTGGTAGAATAAAAAAGTCTTTTAGTGAGTCTGTTTGCATTGAGCTGGATGCACATGCCTTCATATTCATCATTTCCCTCTCTGGTTTTCCAGGTTCTCTTGATCAATAACATTTTCCCAGAGCATGCCAGCCCTCCACTCTCCCAAGCTCTCCTGTTCATTCATTTTTCACTTACGGCTAGGTCCAACTGCCAAATAATCCCAAGGTGCTTCAGACACATTCCAGCCAGCACTTTTTCCTGTCATCTCTTGAATGTCTTTTTGTGGCTGTAATGTAAGAGCGGTACAACACAAGACGAGTCCGCCCTGAATCACTGCTGCACGACGTTTTATTTACCAGTCTTCCTTCCAGCATTAGAGGTCTCAGTTTGCTTTTGCCTTTCTGTAGTTAGACCAAGGGAAAATATGTATTTGTTCCAAATGCAGGTTGTTTCCATAACCCTAACTGATTAGGGGATCAGTATAAATCTGTGTAATTCAGTGTAAAGAGACAAGTAGAGGCGTGAACCAATACCTTCTAGTGAGGTACCAAGTGTGTACAGTACAAAGGTTTAACACATGCTTTGCCCTTCAGTTTTGTTCAATATATTCACCCTGGCCAAACACATGCCATTAATGAGCCCAAAACAAGTTATTAGGTCATAAAATAAAAATGACATCCACATTCTGTATTCTTTGTACTTCAGCACAAAAAGCTGCTGGCAGCTCTGGAAGGTAAAGATTACATCCAACATCCATACAC